ACCTGGAATGAAAGACCTTCAACCAAAACCAGCTGGTTTAAGGCTTCTAAAAACTCATCTTTTGTAATATGCAAACTAATTTGCTGTGGTACAAAACACTTTAATATGGATTGCTGTGAAGTGCTGCCTTTGATGGCTGTATATTTTTGCTTCTTATTCTTTTCTTCTATTTTTTTTTCTAATTTTTTTTTTTCTAACGTAATGAGGAGCTCCGCATGTTTTCTAGATAAGTGTCGTATAAGGTTGCTAATGCGAGCTTTTGCGGCACATGTAATTTCTTTACCACATAACTCGTTACTTTTACTTTTTTCGGGTACAAGACATTTGAAGCATACTACTTTGCATCCATTCAAAATTTTATTTGTGCGATGAAAGTGTCTGTAGATCGTATCTGATGCATAGTTAGTGGCCATTACTGGTCAAGATTGATACACGCGAGTTAATAGCAAATATTATTTTAAAGAAAGAATGTTGTTATTGCAAGTTATTGTGAACATGTAATGTATTTTCTTTGTGTTATATATGCTTCGCAAAATTAATTTTTTGTAAAACAACCCACGAAAACATAGTTAGGAAAGCTGTTACAATGGCTAGTTATGAATCGATGACGTTAGTAGTTTTTCTGTAAAAGAAATTGCTGTGCAAAATAATTTTTATTTATTTGTTGAGGTATTTTTATAAGCTTTTTTTGGCTTCTTTCTGACCTTGATGGTACGTTTTTTGCCAACTGTCTAGATCGTTAGCTTGATTTTATAGCGCAAACTCACAGACAAATTTGTTTTTTTATTGCGTATAATTAATTTGCTAGTGAAATTTGATTGCTTTTCGTATCTAAACCATATTGCTTTCATTACAATTTTTCATTAGGCGTTATTAAAATAAAATTTTTTATTTTATTAGCAGAGTAGACTTTTTATTTTCTTAGACAGAGTCATGCCATTTTGGGTTGAAATTAAAAGAAATAAAAAGATATATATTTTTTTCTAATAGTATTTACAAGCTTCATTTATTTATAAGTATAGTTTCCTACTATAGTTTACAGTTTTAAACAGTGCTTAAACAAAGCAAAAAATATATCGACAATTTTTTTTTAAAGAACTTGACTTTGGTAAAATATTTGTCTACTGCTCATAACCTAGTTAATCTATTCTAATCGACTTTCTTTCTATGATCAATCTAAAAAATTAAAGATAACGAAAAAACTTATGCATAAAAGCAACTTCAACACTAAAATATCATTTATCTCTAAATTTGATAAATATTAAAAAATAATAAAACAACTAAGCGTTCAAACATATCTTTATCTGCAGGTCTAGCCAGTGGCGATTTTGTGAATAAAATGAGGAGGATGAATCCTTCAAAAGTGACTAATGTCTTATAAAAAATATTTAAGTGTCGAATGTTAACTTCCTCTCTTTTTAGGAAAATTGTCCCTGGGTCTCGAAATTTGATGATGAGGAAATACTTAAATAAACAGTTAATCATAAGTACTTTCTTAACGGGATAAAAAAATTAATTGTTTTAAAACTATAAATAAATAGACAAAAATTGTTACATATAAAATGAAAATAATTTGCGAATAAAAGTTTATTAACTTAATATAAAACTTAACATTAAATATCATGAAATTTTTAAAGTTAAAACACTTTATTTTTTTTAATTAAATTTAACAGAAAAAAAATTTTTAAACAGTTTCTTTAACAAAAAAAACTATTAGATCGCAATTGCGGTTAAATACTTTTATTTACAACATTATATTTTCTGAATAAACGTCACATCAACGATATCAAAATAAAAATTAAATATTCTAAAAGAAGAAAGTTTTCTCTTAACGTTAAACTGCTGAACGCATAAGCATATGGCCTTTTCGCACGTAAAATGCAAGCTTGGTAACGCCTCTTAACAAGGCGTAACATTCTAACCGATACTCAATCTGAGTATTGGTTCGAATTAGTAAGGAAGGAGATGAGCTTTCCGGTCAAATGCTCTTTTACAGTGTTTTGTGACAAGACTATCAGGTATTTCTTATGCATATTAATAACTATAAAAAAAAAAAAAAGAGTCCTGGAGTCCTAAAATTTTTATGGACTCCCGAGACTCCGGACTCCGGGCTAAAATAGGGACTCCATGGACTCCGACTCCGGACTCCGACTCCGGACTTCGCATCCCTGCCGTCAATGCATCTAAGCTAATCTTAGCATTATCTTGACAATTTCTTTTTTTTGTATTTTATTTTGTAAATAATGAAGTAAAACGGAACAAGCATAAAGCAATAAAATATTTAAATACAATATTTTCAAAGTTATCTTAAATTTAAGACAAAAAAATTTTTTTTTTTTTGAGAAAATAAGTGGGGCATGGTCCCTGGTGCCCCAGCCCCATGGACCTTCTAGTCGTCTGACCTGAAACTATTTTAAAGCATGTTCATCAGGACTACACAAATGCTGAAAGTTTCAAAGCTCACGCTTGTCTGGAAGATACTGAAAAATCCATCTCAAGATTCCGGTCAAAAAAGTGGGGCACATCCCCCCAGCCCCCTCCCCTAGTGTCTTGGGTTCTTTTTTAATTTTAAAATGCACATTTATTGACACTACATAAATACCAAAATTTTCATCGTTCCAGCTAGTCTGAAAGGTAGTGAAAAATGTATGGCAAGACTCTGCTACAAAATAGTGGGGCCTGTGCCCCGTTAACCATATATGGAAATCCATATACTTGCAGATCAAAATTTTTATGTTTTCTGAAAGATCATTAAACATAGAATAATGTGTACAATTTTTTTTTTTTATATCATCAAGGCCACATGGCTTTCTTGAGCATCAAAACCAGGTATATAAAAAATTGCCTAAATTTATTTAAATTGATAATTACAAGTACTTAAAATTTTTTTTTTACATTTCTGATTATTTCATTGGATTCTTCGACCCTGAAAATAGCCAGGTACAAATTTTTAAGTTAAAAGATCAAATATTTTTAAAGCTATGTGACTTGGAACCTTTAAACAAAGGTCACACTTCTGAGGGGACAAGAGGGGCCTGGCCAAGATCAGTTAAAAGTAAAATGATCATATTTCATGATCCTCTTGGAGCTAGAAGCTAAAATTTTCAAGGATTTTTTGTTTTACTAAGTACTCTCAACTGTATAAAAATCAGCAAAATCTGAGATGTATGGTGACATTTTTGAAATTTTCTGGCTCAATTGACATGGAATTACCCTGCACTAACAATTTATTTATACACTATATATTTATTCAATTTGTGCACTATATGTGCACAAATTGAATAAATATATAGTGCATTATGTATTTAATCAATTTGACATTAATGATTTTTATCTATTAATAACTGCAGATATTTTAGATAAAACAAATGAATTTGCAAAAATCTACACAGTTATTTCAAAAGAGACTATTTGCATAATAAAACAATGTAGAAAAACCTTACTTTATTTTAATAAGGAAACTTGGAAAAAGAAAAACATACATGACTGCTTTGATGTAACAATAGACAGTTATGATGGAGCAAAAAATTTGTGAATTTGTTGGATAATATATTTTAGATTTATTAAGTAAAATAATTAATGTTAATTATTTAGGCCTTTATCTTGATGATGGTTTAATAAAAATGAATAAAAAAATCTGGTCCACAACTTAATAAAATTTGAAAAGATATAGAAAATTTTTTAAATATTGGCTTTCAAATCAAAATAAGCATAAATTTAAAAATTGTGAATTTTTTGATGTCACATTTAACCTCTCTAAAAATTCATACAAGCCTTTTAAAAATCAAACAATTAATTATTGTATATATTAACTATATTGTATATTATTAACTCAAATCATCCACCACAAATACTAAAATAAATCCCAATTTATTTTAGTATTTGTGGTAATTTAAAAAATTTCAATTAATAACAGGCTAAACTAAAACTCCTCTGATAAAAATGTATTTAATTTTTCTAAACAAAGTTTTGAAGATGCCCAAAAAAAAAGTAGATTTCAAAACTTTGAATTAAAATTTGAAAGAACATAAAAAAGCAAAATAGAACTAGAAATCTAATTTGACAAAACTTGTCTAAATACATTTTCATGTACTTTTAAAACTTGGTCTGCGAGTGAGAGGGTTGTTATTTGTCAATACAAAAATATCAATAATATTGCGATAGTTGTTTGCAGTAAATAACTGAGTTTTGTTTGATTTAAAATTTATAAGCCTCTGCAAGCCCCAATCTGTTATAGAAGTGAGATCAGATTCAAGATTGGATGCCCGTTTTAAGCATTGGAGATAAGAAGATTTTTTGTCAAGACAGGAGTATAAAGTTGAGTTGTCAGCAAATAGAGCAACTTTAGATGTAGGATTGTTTGAAAGTTTGTAACCTACTTTTTATGGCAATTTTAATCTGTGAAAATGCATAAAAATTTAATAGAGGCTTTTAATAGAGGCTTTGGCTTGATTTCTTAAACTTTTGCTCTAACTAAGTGACATTTTACTTAAAGTTGTAGTTGTACTATGTATCGCAGAGTATGCATCTTACGTTCAAATTAAAGCGCACCAAGTGTCATTATGCATTATTACACTAGTAAGGATAAAACATATCAACATAGCCACCAAATTATACTGTATATATTTTTAAAAAACTATTAAAATCATGCAACTTTACCTAAAATTGAAAATAATTTCAATAAATTAGTTAATCTCAAGTTCCTTTTGTACTTTTTTAAAGTAACTAATAACATAACATAAAAAGTATCATTTTTACATGTATCTGTTTTAAAAACCTAAGTGCACATATTTTAAACTGAAAAATAAGCATTTTTTAGGAAAAGTACATGTATCTGATCATGTAACTGATAAATAGGTAGAACATGCAAGAGAGTACTGCTACATCATCTGAGAGTTTGAGTTTGGGCAAGTGTTAACAGGTGTAAGTATGTGTGTGATTGTGCTTGTATATACCTGTGTGTGTTTGCATTATAATAAAAATATTATCAGAAGCTTTACTTCTTATTGTCCTATCAAGACTTCTACCCTCTTTTCTCATTCCAGCAGACCATTCACGCACCTAGATTAGAGCAAAATAATTCTCATAATAATTTTTAGATTAGAGAAAAATAATTCTCATAATAATTTTTCTGCTTAAAACAGTTATTTTAAGAGCTTTATAAGAAATAAAAGAGCAATAAAAGGATGTATAATAACAATAATAATGATAAAAATAATAACAATAAAAATAATAACAATAATAATAATTTTTATAACCATAATAATTATCTATTATTACTAATATTATTATTATTATTGTTATTATTATTGCTATTATTATTATTATTACTATTATTACTTGTAGTTATTGTTATTGTTATTATACGTCGATCTCATTTTAAAATTTTGTGTGTGTAATGTACTTTAAGTACATTACACACACAAAAAAAAGGATTTTAAGTACATTACGGTAAATTTATAGCAATTTATACAATATATATTTCTAAATATTTGTATAGATATAGAGTTAACATGTGTAATTTTCATTTACTATGCAGTATTTTTTTTTTTTTTTTTTTCTGTTGTTTTTTCATAGCGAAATACCTTATTAACGAAACAATGACTGAATAAATTATATTCTTCTCAGATAATATTCGTTTAACCTGCTCTTTTGGGTCTTTTACGGGTGTTTTTCCAAATAAACCCATTTTGATAATAATAATAATAATAAACCAGTATGTAGAAACAAAAAAAATATTTTAAAATAACTCCATAGTGATTTTGAGTTACAAAAAAGTGACGTATTTTCGGATTATACGACATGAAAAGTTTGCCGTCGTTGGCGAAAAAACGAGTGTCATAAATAACGTTAGGATTAATGTTATGGAAATAAAAACGAAATGTGCTTTTTTAACAGTTTATTTCAATAACCAGATCATTAAACTTTAAATTGATTCAATTTAGAAAAAAATTAAGCGGTTTTTGAAAATATTATTACATAAAAATTACACTTAGTGAAAAAACGGTTTTGCTCCCGTTGTGAGGCACAACCGCGCCCTCACAAAAATTGTTGGGGTACACTTTTCTTGGTAGATTTTCTTTACAATTGTCACAGCTCAGATTATTTGCTGATATTGTTGCACGTTTACATATTGTGTAGGCATTCTTTGTACTTACAGTCTGAGTTTTCTCATCGATATACTCTTAGCTTTATATTTTATTCAAAAACTCATTTATAAAACTTATATAAAAAAATACGAAATCTAATTTTCAACATCTTAAAACAAAACTATTTCTATTAAAGTTTTTACATGAACGCATTCGTGTGATGATTGTAATTATTGTTTTTCGTAATTACCTTACTTTGATAAATATTAAAAGTATGCGATTCTGCCCCAGAGGACAGTTTTTAGAAAGAATACAGTTTCATAGCTTGCTTATTAGGTTATGTTCATATCAAAAATGGTTTTCATTTGATGAAATAACGCTGATAACACATATCTCAAACACTAAAATCAAATGTTGTCTAATCCTCAAAAAAAAGGTCTGGAAAAATATGATGTAAATATAATATTTTTATCAAAATAAACATTATTACGCACAACTTCTCAGAAACGTAACAGGCACTCTTTTGACATAAGGGAAATGAAGGACGTAATAAACGCGTTATCAAAACAGTTGTTTTGATAACGCGTAGTATGTTTTTTGCCATACTGCATAACATATTTCAAAGGGAAATATCAAAAAACGGTTGTTCCTCTATATGCGGTTATGCCCCCACTTCCCCTATATAATTTTTGGAATTCTCAACGTAGTTAAGATGGTTATATGGTAAAAACTCAGCGATTTTCGTTAAAAAAATCAATTTTCAGTTAAATTAGCCAACTTTGTATAAAATTTAACTGGCTTTTCAACCATATATAACATGATATGGTTTTAAAAACAAAAATCTTAAAAAATTGATTTTATTGATTAAGAGTTAAGAAATTTACTTAGTTACGTCCATAGCAACCAAATTTGTTATTGATATATTTATGTAAGACCTAAATTTTAAATAGTTGTTTCAATTTTTAGGTCTGTATAATTACTCAACTACTTAAAAAAACAAAGTTGGATATCTTATATTGTTGTTAGTTAAAAGGAGAGAAGGAAGTCAAGGGTGAATTTATTTTTTAAAAAGTATTATTATGGCAAAGCATACAAGTTTAAAAAAAAGAAAAATTAAACGAGTGTTTCAAGAAAACAGATATATTAAGAAGCCAATTGATGTTGTTTTGGAACAGCCTGCAGAAGTAACAAACAATGATGGAATAGATATATTGCCATGTGCTAGCTCATCAAAATTAAACATTTCCTCAAATAAAGCCAATCAACCTTTAGCTAAACATGATGACTTTTTCTTCTTTTTTCATTTCCCAATGTTAAAAGATTTAATTTATAACATTGGATTATGTGGTTGTTGTAAATCAAAAGATATTGAGCTTGAATACCTTGATAAAAAACAAAAGGATTTTCAGTACAATTTTGTATCAAATGTGCATCTTGTGATTGGACTTACTTGTTTAATTCATCATAAGCATTTAGTATGCCTAATAGAGATTTCAGAGGAGTCAAATCTCAAGAAATTAACATCAGAACTGTTATGGCATTTAGAGAAATTGGGCATGGTCATGAGGCAATGAAAACATTTGCTTCAATTTTGAATATGCCCCCACCAATGACTCTCAAGACATATAATGAAATAAACTCTAACCTTCTACCATTTTATGAAGCTGCTTCTTGTGATAGCATGAAAGATGCTGTGAAAAATTGTTTGTCCAACTGCAGCTGAAAATGATATTATAGATATACGAATTGGGATTGATGGCTCTTGGAAAAAACGAGGTCATTCATTACTAAATGGTGTATGCACTGCTGTTGCTAAAGCTAACCGTAAAGTCGTTGATTTTCAGGTGTTTTCAAAGTTTTGTCGTGGATGTGCTTTGTGGAAAAAGCAAGAGCAATAAAACTGGTTATGAAAAGTTTTTAAAGACACATGTTTGTGACCTCAACCATTTCCAATCTTCAGGTGCAATGGAATCACCAGGTGCTTTGTCTTTTTTTATGGAATCGATGACAAAGTACAATGCGCGTTATTATATGGTAAAAACTTAGCGATAAAAACAATGCGCATTATATATATGGTAAAAACTTAGCGGTAAAAACAATGCGCATTATATATATGGTAAAAACTTAGCGATTTTCGTTAAATGACAAAGTATAATGTGCGTTATTCTCATTATATAGGAGATGGTGATACCAAATCATATAAGAGTGTTGTGAAGGCAAAGCCTTATGGAGATGATCTTATCCTAGTGAAAAAAGAGTGTGTCGGTCATGTCCAAAAACGCTTAGGCACCCGAATGCGTCAAATTCGAAGTGACTTAAAAGATAAAAAGTTGGATGATGGAAAATTTGTATCAGGGAAAGGAAGGTTGACTGACAAGATTATTAATAAAATGCAAAACTTTTATGGAATGAGCATTAGGCAAAATACCTTAGCAGCATGGAGCGGAGACCATAATATAGCCTTGTACAACATGAAAAAATCAGTTTTAGCTGTATTGTGGCATTGTACGGATATAAGCTACAGTGAAGAGAGACATCAATTTTGCCCTCGTACAAATAAAAGCTGGTGCAAGTATTGGCATAGTAATATTACTTTTAAGCCTTCAATTAATCTGCCTATTGCCATTAAAAATGTTCTTAAGGATACATTCTTGGCACTACGGTCAGATGTTTTATTATCGAGATGCCTTGATGGTGCAACACAAAATCCAAACGAAGCTTTCATTCAGATAATCTGGAAAAAGTGTCCAAAAAATATTTTTGTTACAAAAAAGGTACTAGACCTAGGTGTTGCTTCAGCTGTAATAAATTACAATGATTGTTTGAGAGGTTTTACAAGAATTTTTGATTATTTGCATCTCCGCCTTAAGTAGATTTGCATCTCCACTTTTATAGATTTTCAAAGATGAGATTTTTATAAAAAATTGCAATTTAAGTTTTACTAACTCGCATTAAGTTTTAAATGAAATTAAATAAAGGAAAATTTTATACAACTACTTCTGCTTGTGTTTAAAAATGTTTTTAAAGTTTTTGTTTTTTCTTACACAGAATTAAGGAGTTTTATAAAGTCTTTTTTTGAACTTCTTTAGAATTTTGCTCAGTCGGTTTGCTTCAAATGAAAAACTTTCTTAATTTGGACCAGATCAGAAGAGCTAGAACTTTGTACAAAGTGTTTGAAAAATTTCCTAAAAAAACATGTTTTGTTCAATCAAAGTAATAACGTTCTCAACTTAATAAGTAAAAGTAATTTTTTAAAAAAACTACATTCTAGTAGTCGTAGCTATTTTCCTTCTATTTCCTTGAAGAGTATTACATTGTTCAAATATCTTTACAATACTTAAAATAATTCCAGCACCGAGCAAAGTCTTTGCTTAAAAGTAGTATTCAAGAACCTAAGATTTCACAGTTCTGGAAATTATAATTTCCAGAACAGGAAATTATAATTTCCATAACAATATTAATTAGTCACTTGCATTGTTGTAAGTTAGGATTCCATAATATATCGCCATTATATTATATTAAAATGTATAATATAAAACTTTGATAGACATATTACATTTTAAATAAATTTTAAAAGATTGCTTCTAGTCTGCAGTAAAATTTTTGATGTTTTCTCTTTGAACAATTTCATCGATTATCTTGCAGACCAGATATTTTACAGAAAGATCTTCATTGTTTAAACTAATAACCAAGTGACGGCAATTTCTTGAAAAGCACCTATAATAAGTTTGAAATTGCTGTGCGTGAGTTTTAGCGCCATTTTGCTGAAGGAAAAGCAGTTTATTGAAAAAGAAATTGAGGAATGGCTGTAGCTACCGAGACAAAGTTGTGGTAAAGATAATAATTTTTAATAATAAATAATTTTTTTACCTATCAAACCAACCTTACCCATAGAAGACATCATTTTCGGTTGTTGGCGCTTACAATTTTAAAAGTTTACAGTAAACCAGTAAAAAGTGTTTTGATGATAAACTGATCAAAGTTTAAGGTAAATGGGACACAATAGTTGTCGAGCTATCCAGTCAATAGATATTGTGTGTTCGACTGTAAAAGAATATAAGGGCCAAAATAATGGTGTAAGTATAGGCAGATTTTCATTTACAAGAAATTTTCCGCAGTTTGGAACGGAAAAGAAAAGCATCCAATCATGTAACAGAAAAATTTTAGATGCAAAGTTTTTATGTTACATGATTGGATAGTTTTCTTTTCCGTTCCGTTCCGCGGAAAGCTTACTGTGGGTGGAAATCCACTTTATTATAATTATTACCAATTAGTCACTTTCAGTTTTATCATGGAGGTATAATAGACTAGCTGGAAAGAAAAAAAAGTCGAAAATTGTTTAAAATTGTGGTACAGTCTTAGTAGCATAACTATTCCAACGACAAATCAATGACGTTTCTGCGTTTAAAAAGGAAAATTTTGGAAGCTGTAATCAAAGTGAATTATTCTCTGATAAGTTGACTTGATAAGTTTTGAACAACTGTTTGAATTATGATAAAGAAATAACAACAAAAGTCACGATCTACGCGTAATCATTTTTAAAATTATTAAAGTATTATTACTTTAACACTAGGTATAAATATCAAAGTTTTAGACAATCTCTACTCCTTTTTTAAACCTTAACTTTTGCATTTCCGTGGTGCAGTGGTTAGAGCGCTTCTTTTAGAAGCAAGAGATCGAGGGTTCAAAGGATCTCTGGGCATTTTT